CTCGTGCCTCCTGCTCGCTCCCGGGGCTGTTGGGCAGGGGAAGGGCTGGGGCAGCGAGCGGGGGCTGCAGAGCGGGCGGCCCCGGGGGCTGCGCTTTGCAGTGAGTGGTTCTGGGCATTTTTTTTCCACTCGTTTGAGTAATTAATCACTGTTTTCCTAGGCTGGACTCCAGGGCGCGGGGAAGAACCATAAATGATTTATCGGGGGACATTAGAGAGATATGGACCTTGTCCAGGAACCGATTCCAGCCTTTAATAACTCAGCAACTCTTAAGAAAGAAGGATAAATCCTTTCTTCCTCGGATCTTTTTTGGGGAATGTGGTTTCATCTTCCCACGTCAAAACCTTTCCGAAACGCATCCGTTAGGACTCGGCAGGGACAAGGCATCTTCCTCCCTGGGGGAGCGGCTCAGCAGCTCTCCCTGCCTGTCCTACTCCCCCCCCCCAAAAAACCCAAGCGGCCCAGCAGCCCTCCCTGCCTGTCCTACTCCCCCCCCCAAAAAAAAACCAGGGTGCTCCTTTTGCCTGATTTATGGGGAAACAGCCCCGGTGTTGAGCCCCCAGCTCGCTTTATCTCGACAGGTCGTGGCTTGTAGATAAGAGCTGAGCTCTGGGCGCTGCGATGGCTGCGCCGGGCTCCTTCCCCTCCCTCCTTCTCCCGTGGGAGCCCACGCTTGCAGCGTGCAGGGGGAAATAAGTGCTCCCAGCTGGGCTCGCCCAGCAGCATCACCACCAGCCCCCCCAGTAATGTTGTCTCAGGAAGGAGCAAGCTGGGAAGTGCAGGTGGAGGATGCTCCTCATCAGGGGATGAGTTTTTCCATGGTGTCCTAAGCATCCAGGGTTCTGCTTGGCTTTGGAGAAGACAAGACACCCCAGCCCATCCTCACAACCACTCTTCTCCTTGCAGAGGACACCTACGCCTCGGAGGAGCTGGTGGACCAGCAGCCTGTGCTGCTGAAGGTGATGGAAACGGCCGACCAGGTGAGATATCAGGGCACTGCTGGTGCCAAACACCTGGCATGAGCTGGCTGGACCATGGCAGGACCACAGCTCAGCCGCTCCTCTCATCCCTAGGATGGTCCTGGGAACTGTGAGCGCTACCTGCGTTGGGCAAGCGCCTTCCTCGTCGTCTACAGCATCGAGGATCGGAACAGCTTCGAGGGCTGCCAGCGCTACCTGGAGATCCTCGCCCGGCACGTGAGGGGCTGCCAGCGCCGCTGCCCTGTGCTTCTGCTGGGGAACAAGCTGGACATGGAGCAGTACAGGTACTGGGCGTGGGGCAAGGGGGAGAGCTCACAGATCTGATCTGATCCCTGATCCATCCAGCTGAGATGCAAAACTCAAATCTGTTTGTTTGGGGGTTTTTTTGGTGGCTATTTCCACCCCCGTTGGTATTCGCCACGTCCCCCCACATCTCCGAGGCTCCCGCTCTCCTGCCCAGGGGATGATGTGTTTGTCTTGAGCCCGTTGGTATTTTCAGTGGGATGTTTTTTGGCTGCGTGGTGAGGCAGCGTCACCATCCCCGGGCAGGGTTTGAGCTCCTCGCTCCCCTCGGGATGTCCCTTTTCCCTCCAGCCCCTTCTCACCCCGACCAGCATCCAGGACTGGATGTCCCCAGGGTGTTTTTCTGGCCTTTCGTGCCACTCTGAGGCCGCTCTGAGTGTTGGTCCCACGAGTCCTTGAGTCACGCACGTTGCTGAACCCCCCCAGCACGGAGTCCCCCTCCCCACGGCAGGGACCTGCCCCATCTCCTCCCGCTTCCCAGTGCGCTGCCATCGCGTCCAGCCCCTTGTGTCCTTGGCACACACATCCCTGACACGGGAGGTTGCATGATTCCCCAGGAACCCACACAACTCATTGCTCTGGGATTTGGGGAAAGGCAAAACCCTTCCAGACTCGTGTCCCCTGCTTGTCCCAGGAGGGAGGACGAGTGGGTGCTGCCCCGGTGCTCACCGGGAAGCAGGTGTGGGATGCAGGATCCATCGCTCCCCTTTTCGGGGGGTTGGAGCTCCCCAAGGGATGCAGCACCCGTCCCCTCCGCTCTCGCCAGGCAGGTGCCCGCGGCCGAAGGGATGTCCCTGGCGACCAGGTTTGGGTGCCTCTTCTACGAGGTGTCGGCGTGTCAGGACTTCGCGGGGGTGCAGCACGTCTTCCACGAAGCGGTGCGGGAGGTGCGGCGCCAGGTGGAGGGGAACCCACCTGTCCGGCCACTCTTCATCACTGAGGAGCGGTGGTGGCCACGCCGGTGGCCCTGCCCACTCGCCACGGCTTGGCCAGTTGCACCTGCAACACCCTCTCCACTGTCAACTACAAGGAGATCCCCTCGGTGGCCCAGGCCAAGCTGGTCACCGTCAAGTCCTCGCGGGCTCAGAGCAAGAGGAAAGCTCCCACGCTCACCTTGCTGAAAGGCTTCAAGATCTTTTAGGATGTGTCCCTGTGGGCTGGGGAGGGGGTGGTGAGAGACCCCCATCCCCCCAGCTCCACAGGAGCTGAGACCATTGGTGATGGACTCACAGGTACCACACCAGCCGCTGGGGGGGGGGGGGTCTCCACGCTGGGGCAAAGCCTGCGGTGACAATTTGGCGAGCAGATGAGGGAGCTCGGAGTCAGAAATGGGCTGTGGTGTCACCCCACCCTGGCTCTCGTCCCCCCTGGCTGAGCACTGCCGCGGTGCTCGCTCCCTGTCCTGCCACCAGTGCCAAGGTTCAGCCCAGTGGCCCAGACACTTCCCATGTGGATCAGAGCAGCTCCTGGAGCAGCCGGAGCCATGGACAACACCAGGAGGGTGAGGAGCGTCCCCAGGGCCCCCAGCCAGCTCGGGAGCCCAGGAAGGGGGAATTAATCATTAATTAAGCGCAGAGGCACCCGTCTCGTTCGTCTCAAGGGTCTCCCTGACCGAGCAATAAGTAGGAGGAATTTTAATTATGATGATGATTTTTTTAACTCCAACAAGGAAGGTGCAGATATTGTTTCAGCCAAGTAAAGGCCTCAGGTGTCCTGAAAGTGATTCCCACACATCAAAATAAATCATCCCAAAACAGCTGGGTTGGGTTGGTTTTTTGTACTCAACTTTTTACAGGCGTTTTCCTTTTCCAAGGAGAGATGCTTCACTGAGAAGGACGCGCTGTGAAAAGCCTTTGTTGAAAAGACAAAGGATCTAGTTCCAAAAATGGCTTAAAATTATTTCACGGCTCCTGCACGTGGCCGGTGAAGGGTGTGAGGTGAATCCCAAAGCAGACCCGGCTCTCCCTGTGTCCACGCCAGGGCCAAGGGCTGGGCCTTCCATTTCCTTTGCTGTAGCAGGTTAAATGTTCTGCTTCTCCCTGGAGCTGCAGTTACTCCACAGAGTCAAATATCCACGTGTATATTTGTACATATATACATTTTATATAGAGATATATATAGAGATATATATATATATATATGAGCTTACTGATAGAGATTCAATATGGGATTTCCATCAATCACTTTGGAAAGTATTTTAATAAAGACGATTTCTGAAAAGAACAGAAGTGCCTCCGCTCCAGCGTGGCTGTTTTCCTGACGGGATGTGACGGCGTGTTCCCTGACGGCAGGAAAAGCCTCTCAGCTCCCATCTCCCGCCTCCTACCCCAG